GGGGCAAGCTGGTACAGTTCAGGGTTGACAATATGGCAGTGGTGGATATATTGAAGGGCCTATATAGCCGTGACAATCATTTAATGCATTTGGTTTGCTTATTAGTGTTCTTCACAAATAGGTATGACTTTTGGTTTGGAACCAGTCATATCAAAGGGCCTCACAACACCTTGGCAGATACTTTGTCACGCGATAACATCCCTCTTTTCTTTTCTCAGGCCCCGGCAAGTACAAATCTCAATCGAGCAGCGGTCGTCGAGGCTCTGTTGGCCCTTCTCGCTCTGGAGGTAAGCTGGACCTCAGCACCTTGGAGGAAACTGTTTGAAATTACATTGAGGCAGGTATAGCCTCTTCAACTAAGAAGCCATACAACACTGCTCAGAGGCGGTACATGCAATTCTGTATTGACTTTTCACTCTCACCTTTCCCAGTTTTTGAAAATATTCTTTGTTATTTTGTAGCATGCATGAGCCAACAGGGTTTATCTTCATCTACCATAAAAGCATATTAGTCGGTGGTGCAGCAGCTACAAATTGCGAGGGGTTTGCCTGAACCCAATATAGGCTCCATGCCCAGACTAAAGCAGATAATAAAAGGGGTGGCGGTCCTGCGGGAGAGGGATGGCTCCACCTCCAGAAGGGGCAGATTGCCAGTGACCCCGAACATATTACGCTGGATGAGGGCTGTATGGCTGCGAGGATCTCAGGAGGAGGGTTACAGCCATGTTATGCTGTGTGCTGTATTGCGTGTTACCTTCTTCATATTCAGCCGTTCCGGCGAGATGACGGTGCTGGAGGGTGCCCTGTTCGATCCACGAGTGCACTTGGACATTCAGGATATATCGGTGGACCGGGAGGGGCAACTGAGAGTGGTGTCCATTCGTCTGAAGAAATTTAAGACAGACCAGGAAGGACGAGGAGCGACCTTGATATTTGGTAGAACGGGGAATGAGCTGTGTCCGGTGAGTGCACTAATCCAGTACATCAAGTTAAGGGGTACTAAGCCAGGTCCACTCTTCCAATGGAAGGACGGCACACCCCTATCCTGTACACGTTTTGTGGGGGAAGTTCAAAATGTGTCATTGGAGGCCGGTCTCCCCGCAAGAAAGTTTACAGGTCATAGTTTCCTGATTGGGGCGGCTACCACCGCCGCTACATTGGGGGTGGAGGACTCCAAAATACAGACTCTTGGCAGGTGGAAGAGCAGTGCATTCCTATCATACATTCGCTTAGGAACAGGGCAGCTGGTTTCAATGTCGAAAGTGCTTGCACAAGGGGACATGTAGGGGAGAACATGACTCATTAACATTGGGCACTGTGGGTTCATAATGGTTGGTGTTTTGAAAGGTGTTAATAATTTATTGTGGAAATGATCGGGAATCGGGTAGCAAAGGTTGGGGAGTGAAAGTGACTGGCAAGTTAGCCAGTCTTGAGTGGCTGGACACTCCTCTTTCTGGACCTGCCCTTATGATAGTTATTTAATTGTAATTAATAATTAGTAGAATAATCAGTGTTCAAAAAATTAATAATAATCACAACAGTGAGGAGGTAGAAATAGGTGCTCCGGATTCCATATTTCCAACATCCACCCGACAAGTTAATTGCAGTTTAAGCAATGATTAAACGAGATTAACTTGGGGGTGGGGTTGATAGTGGCACGCATGCGCAGTAGTAAGATAGCTCACAGAAGACAAACTGACTGGCACCCTCAAGCTAAAGAGAAAGCAATTCAAAGCTTCCCACCCACCCATCCCTAGTTCTCCATTAGTTCCAGCTAATGTGACAGAAGAAGGAGCATTGGCTGGACACTCCCCTTTCTGGAACCCACCCTCATGATAGTTATTTAGTTGTAATTAATAATTAGTAGAATAATCAGTGTTCAAAAAATTAATAATCACAACAGTGAGGGGGCGGAAATAGGTGCTCTGGATTCCATATTTCCACTATCCACCCGACAAGTTAAATAAAATAAAATCACAGACTTAATAAAACAGTAACATGTAAGATTAATACCTCTTTTAGCTGGAAACCTCCACTAAAGTATTGCAGTTGTTGATTCCAAGCATAGCCTGGTAAAAAATTAATTGCTTTTTCCAGAGCAGAGCTGAGCATGCGCTATCACACCCAAATTTTGGAGCGCATGCTTTTTTAATTAACAAAATGGCAGCATGCAGCTAAGATGGCTCTATCCAGCAGTCACAGTATCACTTTTTATTCCTTTGAAGAATGATCTCATGGGACATGGATCTGCACATAGCCATTTGGAGTAGATTGGTGTAAGAACTAGTCATGTAGCACCAACCAATTTTGAGATACACCTCGCCAACTGAATGGACAGGACTAACTTTCTTGATGATGATGATGAACATGAAAAAAGTAGCTGAACAAAATGGCCGGTTCACCAATTTTTGAATTTTCTCTTATACAAGGTTTAGAGCCATGCTAGTGGTACCATTGGAGTCCTCCGGTCAAAATAAGGTCCTCTACAAAGTCTGGTAAGCACAGGAGCTCGTTTTCTCGGTATAGCAAGGCTGCAAAAGTCGTGGCAGCCATTTTGAATCCTACTTAGTAATGCTACCGCGTTACTAATATCATCTGCATCATATTCACAATTAACGAAACCACTTGTTAGTAAATGAGAGTTCTCATTAAAACATAAATAGTTGTGTAGACATATTGTAGCATTCCAGGGTTTCAAGTGATGCTGTAATTGTCCAGCAAAATATTCTCCGTTATGCAACAAATAATGTTCAATGCATTTTTCTATCGTTCTTTTGGCTATAGATATAGGGTATTTGGAGATATTTTGCTGTATAATCAAATTCTTCACAGGATAAAGTTTTATCAACCAAGTTTTTAAAAAGTATTAACACTCAAGAGTTGGAACATGAACCAATCCTGCTTGAACAAAGGATTTGGGGCATTGCGATAGTGATGAAGCAGCCACAATTTATGCTGGCGCAAGGCATGATCCAACAATGGTAGCAATATTCATTAAGCCTCCCTGTGACATACTTTCTGTCACTGTTAACTAGTACGTAATTATTATTCTTTAATTTAATATTCATATTCTATTCACCCTGAAATGCACAGCCCACCCTGGCTGCAATGTTCAGTATTATGGACCTGGCACCTACAGAAAGTGCCAAATCTAACTCTTATGA